CCAGAGCACAACCCCAGGGCCTGCCCCAGGGCCTGCCTTGACTGTAGCCCCGTCTTCTGACCGCCGCCCTGTCTTCCTGCACTCACCCCTAAATGAAACCTGGAGACCTCGAATATCGGACCTCCCATGGAACTTGGAGTGTCCGCCCATCCCTCTCTCCTTGCCACCAAGCCCCTGGGGAAACTGGGTCCCAGAATGGCGGAGGAACTTGACGCAGGCCATCCGGCTAGCTGGAGGCAGGCCTGACGAGCCAGGTCCACACACGCATGTGTGCTCGTGCCTGTTCTGAGCTCTGGGATGGCGGATCAGGACACAGGACGGTCCGGGCTCTCCTTGTCCTGGGAAAGCTGAGCCTGCTGGGGGTGCAGACACACAGGCAGATCAGAACAGCTCGCCTGGGCATGCGTGCTCGAGAAGGACATCCAGGCACCGATGCGCCTGAGAGAGGAGGAGGTGGTTTCAGCGAGATTCTCGAAGCCGGGTTCTGAAGGATGAAGTTGGTCAGGGGGTCAAGTAACAGACGACCGTTGTCTGGGAAAGGAAGAGCATGCCAGAGGCAGGGAGCAAGGTGTGTTTTGGGGAAAAGCTCATATCTCCTCCTTGTTTGGGTCAGGGTCTCACTCTGTCACCCAGGCTGGAGTGCAGTGGCACAATCACAGCTTACCTCTGCTTTGACTTCCTGGGCTCAGGCCATCCTCCTGCCTCAGCCTACCTAGCAGCTGGGACGCTGAGACCACAGGCATGTGCCACCGTGCCCGGGTAATTTTTTAGTTTTTTTTTTTCCTGTAGAGATGAGGACTCAAGATGTTGCCCAGGCTAGTCTTGAACTCCTGGGCTCAAGCCATCCTCCTGCCTTTCCCTCCCAAAGTGCTGGGATTATAGGCGTGAGCCACTGCGCACAGCCAGATTCGAGAATTTTTTTTTTTGAGTCGGAGTCTCACTCTGTCACCCAGGCTGGAGTGCAGTGGCCCACTCACGGCCACTGCAGCCTCGACCTGCTGAGCTCAGGCGATCCTTCTGCCTCAGCCTTCCAAGTAGCTGGTACCACAGGCGTGCGCCACCACGCCCGGCTGATTTTTTTATTTATTGTAGAGATGAGGCCTCATCATGTTGTCCAGGCTGGTCTCAAACCTGCGGGCTCAGGCAGTCCTCTCACCTCTGCCTCCCAAAGTGCCAGCATGACAGGCATGAGCCACTGTGCCAGGCTGATTCCAGGACATTTTAACTCCACATTGAGTTGCAGTGTGTAAACTTGACCCTGCAGACCACGGGAGCCATGGGAGGGGCAAGAGTGAATGTGAGCTGAGGCCTTGCTGGTGGCCGAGCAGGAGGGGTGGCTGAACTGGAAGCTGGGAAGCCTGGGAGGCTGTAACTGGACCCTGAAGGCGTCCACGAAGACTGGGTGACTGAGGAAACGGAAGACAGAAAAGAGCTTTGTCTAAAAGCGTCTGCCCTGGTGGGAGAAAGTGATCCCCACAGGTGCTGCATCATCCAAGTGACACCACCCACCTGTGACTTGCTGGAGCCAGAGTGTCGGGTTCAAATCCATGCCCTGTCACATAACCATTGGGTCCTGCTGGATGAATTCTTTAACCTCGCTAATCTTCAGTCTCTTCCTGTGTAAATGGGCATGTCAGCTGCCCCCTCATGGGGCTGCTGTGAGAATCCAAAGTGTAATCTTTTCTTATTTTTCACCACATCATGGCTGGCCACAGCCTCGACCTCCTGGGCTCAGGCGGTCCTCCTACCACAGGCTCCTGAGTAGCTGGGACTACAGGTAGGCTAATTGTTTGATTTTTGGGGGTACAGACAGGACCTCGCTATGTTGCCCGGGCTGGTCTTGAACTCCTGGACTCAAGCGATCCTCCCACCTTGGCCTCCCAAAGTGTTGGGATTACAGGTGCGAGCAATCCCAGCCAGTCCATGTAAAGTCTTGAAACCGTGCCTTGGCTACTAACAAGCACGATGGAAGCACTCCCTATATTGCAAATGGGGAAACTAAGGCTCAGAGAGGTTAGGCTCTGCCCAAGGTGCCCAACTTTATTATTATTATTAATATTATTACTTTTTTGAGTCAGAGTCTCACTCTGTCACGCAGGCTGGAATGTAGTGGTACAATCGTGGCTCACCGCGGCCTCAAATTCCTGGGCTCAGGTGATCCTTCTGTCTCAGTCTCCTGAGTAACTGAGACGACAGGTGTGCCACCATTCCTAGCTAAATATTTTTTTATTATTTGTAGAGACGAGTTCTCGCTATGTTGCCCAGGTTGGTCTCAAACTCCTGGGCTCAAGCGATCCTCATGCCTCAGCCTCCCAGAGTGTAATCTCAAAGTGCTGGGATTCCTGGCGTGAGCCACCGCGCCCAGCAGGGTGACCAGCTTTTGAAGAGGCAGAGCTGGGCTTTGACCCAGGCCATCTGGCTCCAGAGCTACTTTCCTTGACCTATATCCTCTGTGGCCTCCAATGTATTGGGTAGCCGCGTGGAAGCGCCAGAGTTGGCGTGTGCTCGCAGGCAGGGAGGCTGGGGAGGGGATGGCGGCGGGAGGGGGGCCTCTCGCGAGGGCCGGTCACCCAGGCTCCAGCAGCTCCTCCACCGGCCTGGTCCCAGGAGGCCCCGGCGTCTCCCTTGGTGCCAGGGGATTGTTTTCAGCTTGGTCTGGGCCCGTCTCGGCCTCCGCTCTGGGAGACAGGCCCAGGCGTCACCCTCCTCCTGTCTCCCCATTCTCGTCTGCGTCTGTGGGGTGGGGGCGGCCAGGATTCGAAAAGGCCCCAAAATAAATGGGCCTCTTATCTGATCTCCCAGCCTGGCCCGTTATCTGATCATTACATAATGGCCAGGCTTGCGGCCTCTCCCCCTGGCTGACGGCACGGAGGAGGTGGCCCCAGCAATCTGCAGGAACTGGGGTTCCTGGCAGTCTGGGGAGCGGGCAGGGAAAGTCCCGAAGGGAAGGAGGGAGGGGCTGGGCTGATCCGCGGCCGCCGGGGTCCTGTGGGGAGTGGAGCCGAGGCCCAGCGCAGGCAGCCCCACGGCGTGAGACTGTGGCCACCGCCCCCCCAGGGCCTCTGTCTTCCCCTCTGCCTGGAAGGGGCTTGTGGCAGGCAAAGAGCTGGTGCTCACGGCAGGAAAAGGGAGAGGGTGGGTGGCCTGGGGGGCAGTGGGCAGGAGGGCGTGAGACAGAGGGGCCGGCTCTTGGGTCCACGGGGGCGAGGGAGACCCCGGGACTGCGACGCCCCAGAGCCCTCACCTGGAGGCTGCCCTGTGCTCCCCATCACCCACCCCCAGTCGATTCTTCTATCGAGGCTTAAGTCAGTAAAATGACTGCTAAAAAGAACTGTCCTGTGCTCACCTCGCCAGCCCCTGTTATGCTGCCGCTGGAACTGTGCAGAGGAGATTAGCATGGCACGCAGATTCGTGACGCCATCATGCTTTTGAAAGCAAAACAAACAAAGAACAGCCTGGTTCAGGGTCCTGTGGGGTCCTCCCAGCCACCTCCATGAAGCGTGTAGGGTCTATGCTTGCCGTCCTTCTGCAGACCAGGACACTGAAGCCCCAAGGGGTGAAACTGTCCACCAAAGCCACACAGCTAGCAAGGGCTGGGCCTGGGAGTCCAACCGAGGTTGGCCTGACTCCAGGGACCTTGCTTTCTTATTTTTATTTTATTTTATTTATTTAATTTTTGAGGTGGACGTCTCACTCTGCCACCCAGGCTGAAGTGCAGTGGTACAACCACAGCCCGCCACACCTGGACCGCCTGGGCTCTGGTGATCCTCCTGCCTCGGTCCCCCAGGTAGCCGGAACTTCAAGCGTGTGTCACTATGCCTGGCATTTTTTGGCTTTTCTGTTGAGACGGAGTCTTGCTATGCTGCCCAGGCTGACCTCGAACTCCTGGGCTCAAGCAGTCCTCCTGCCTCGGCCTCCTAGAGTGCTGGGATTCCAGGTGTGAGCCCACACGCCCACTGGGACCTGGCTTTAACGGAGGCGCCGTGGACCCAGGCACTCCACTCCAAGGCCCTGGCCCACGCAGGACGGGGCCGGAGAAAAGACGTCCAAGGCCTAGGCCCCCACGGTGGCCAGCGGTCCTCGTCCAGACCCTCCCGTGCCAGACGGAGCTGGAGTGGTGCGCCCGGCAGGGGCAGCCATCTCACATCCTCCTGGATGGCCAGAGCCCAGCAAGCCACGGAAGGCTGGGGAAGGAGGCCGGAGGAGGACACAGACAGCCGGGATCCCCGAGAGACCTCTGGCCCCTCCCTGCTGGCGTTGGCGGGACATGAGGCCAGGCCCTCCGCACCCCTCTTTGATCTCCAAGAAAACAGGAAGTGAGCGCGCCCAGATGGAGACACACGCTCCCAAACAGTACCCCCCTCTCCGTCCTCCTTCCCTCCCAAGCCCCCTTCCCGGCACATTCCTCAGGCGAGGTGCAGGGGCCCCATTTCCGCTTCCTCCTCCACTGGGTCGGGTGAAATTCCATTCCGCTCCCTCAGGACCCGAGTTCTTTCCGGGCTGCCCGGACTCCGGGCCTACCAGGCGGCCTCCCTCCAAACCTGGGCCGCCCTCAGCCTCACCCTGTCCCCCGGGCCGGGAAACACTCAACCCCCTTCAGGCCAATCCTCCGGGAGGCCCCTCAGTGTCAGCTCCCGCCTTCCTCTAGAGTGCCCTCGTTCACACGTGGGCCCTGCAGTTAGGGTTGCCCGATGTGGCCGATGAAATACGGGGCTGGTTGTGGTGGCTCATGCCTGTAATCCCAGGGCTTTGGGAGGCCGATGTGAGAGGATTGCTTCAACCCAGGAATATGAGACCAGCCTGAGCAACAAAGCGAGACCCCATCTCTACGAAAATATTTAAAAATTAGCTGGGTGTGGTGGTCCCAGCTACTTGGGAGGCTGAGGCAGGAGGAATGCTTGAGCCCAGGAGGTTGAGGCTACAGTGATCCATGATCACACCACTGTACTCCAGCCTTGGTGACAGAGTGAGACGCATCTCTTAAAAAAACAAACCAAAAACTATATATATTTAGTGTTTTTTGTTATATTTTTTATGTATGTATGTATATATATGTTTGCATTTCAGATAAACAATAAAAAAAATTTTTTTTGAGCTGGAGTCTCACTCCATCGCCCAAACTGGAGTGCAGTGGCCGCTCCCGGCCACCGCAGCCT